TTCAGAGAGCTGTGTGGAAAACAAGTCATTGTGGCTTGAGACCGAGTGCCCTGGTACAAAGTCACCATAACAAAACAGAAATACAGGCCCTCATAATGAAGAAGTGTGGATGAGGCAAGTCAGGAAGGTAGAACACACAGCAGCACTTAAGCAGTGCCAGACTGAATAACACCGAGGATCTTCCCAGTCTGGCACCCTGTTGCCAACAGTGACCAACCAGAATGAGAGACAGATGCTGGGATGAGTTGTGCAAAAGGCTGGATTGCTTTAATAAAACCCAACAATTGTCACAACAAGCAGGATATGGGGTTGAATTCAACATTCCACAATGACATTGTTCCATCAGTGCAAGCCCGGTGGAAAAGCTCCCATCTGTGTTGTTCTGGAGGTTCATTTGACCCTCCAGAGCGGATTAGGAGGCACAGGAGAAGAGAGGGGGCAAGCATGATTGTGCTGGTGGAAGTCCTTGTGCTGGCTTCCGCTAGTGTTAGTTTAATCAGGATCAGGGTGTGCAAACAATGACAGGCCCTGGTGGGATGCAATATGAATCCCCCTCGTCACACAAATGCCAGTGCCATCTCAAACACTGGTCTAGACGTAGCCTTGAATCCTTTCAATTATTTGCTGCTGCTGCTGCTTTCCTTTATGAGAAACAAACTCTGTGCAATCCAGACATGGGTTAGATCACAGGAATTCTTAACCTGCATTCATTTCAGATTTATTAATACAATGGGAGGGATTGGTGGGGGGTGAAAACAAAGGAAAAGAGATACAGGGCCCCTTTCCTCCATTCCACCAGAAACACTCTGTCGCATCTCAAGGTCCTATGCTTGATGAAAACATGAGGTCCTATGTCTGTCATTCCCAGTAGGCTAGGATGTTTTCACACTGCAGGCTGTTAGGAGGAAGAAGGAGCAAACAGTTCTTACCTGCCCTGTATTCTTCGATTTAACTTCCGGATTCTGCAATCCAAATAGGACCACAGCGTATTTGCAAAGCAAATATTTAAAACCACTATTCTGGGCTTAAAGAAAAGCAAGATGGTGGCGGCGAGGAATGTGTTTGAGAGATGATGTATCAGTAAAACCTACAATAACTACTCTTGGGAAGGGTGGCGCAAAAGCAGAGGGTTTAGAAGCATCTGTCCATTATCGGAAAAGGATTTGTAAATGCTCCGCAGGGCTCTCAATAAGTATATAGATTTGACAGGGCTTTTCCAAACTTGGTTGCTTGGAAATGTGTCCAACAATGAGCTAGCTGTTGTGGGCTATGTTTTATTTGCAACAAAATTGATCAGTGAGGGCAAATTTTCTCAAGCTCTGGGATACCTAACTGTGTACAGACATGATATTGCTCTAGAGTAATAGATAACATACATTATTGCACATTTGAATTGTACACATAATAAACCTTAACATTAACAATCATAAAAAATTGGCCTAAAAGTCTTCAGTTTTCTAGCGTTATAAAAATCAGTGCTGCTTTTCACTGATTAGATGCTTTAAATATTGCTGTTATTAAAGCATTGTGGTCTTTGTGCTGTACAAAGGTTGTATCTAATTCCAGTATGTTCCCAGTGCTTTCTTAGGCCTCCCCTCCCCCCACAATTCTTGCTTATTTCTTTTGTGTTCAGTCTTTGCTCAGTCCATGTTCACATACACAAATTGGATTGTTCCACCAAAGATTGGCAGTTAAAAGTTGCCTTTTGGTGGTAGCCTGTGTAAAACTAGTTCATGTGAATGGGTTTACTACTCACAGGAGTTCACAACATGTCACCCTTTATACAGGAAACAAAGTGCAATATTAAAGGATGTGGGAGCATCCAGCTGCCATATTTTTAAAATTTTGCCCTTAAGGTGGTGCTCAGTTTGGGCTCTTTTAAGTGCTTCCACTAGTCAACAGGTAACAGATGTGTAAAAAAAAAAGTCACAGCCTGCCCAGTGCCCCCTCACTTGCCTGCCCCACTCCCTAAGCATGCAATGCCATTTTGAGTGGACAGATGCAAGCACCAGCAATTCTTTGCAAGCTGAGTAAAGTTCTTTGGGAGACAGAAGTTCGTTGGGGAAGGAGGGAAGAAAAGCCTTCCTTTTCTCTGAGGGAAAAGGACCACGGGAAGTGTTGAAGAAAGTTAGAAAGTGAGATAACAGTTTAACATGACTTTTTATTTTTATTTCCTTCTCCACTCCACTCCCAAATAGTGCAATTATTTGACAGGACACTTTACTTCCCATAATCTATCTGTGTTCTAAATTGTTGCCGGTCATGGTAAGTTACAAGGAAATTTAAAGCACCAGCACACAGATGGAACGTGTTGAATAGGCACTAAACTGGAGCAAGAGATCAAAAATATAGAAAATGGATTTAAGAGGATGTAACTTGTGATGAAGGACTACATTCTGAAAGAAATTTCAGCCTACATACATCAAATTCTGTGTTCCCTATTTAGCAAAAATGTCACTGAAGCCAGATGGTTTCTGCTAGCACAACGATTATCAGATTTGTCCCATAACAATGCTGTAGACCCCATTATCTTAATCTGATACTGAGACAAAAACACATTTTTCTCTGCCGTATCCATTTCATTACCCTACCTATAGTTTATTCAGAAATGAACAACAGAGAAGGTGAACTAAAGCCACTGTTGTCTCAAAATATTTGTATGAACAATTATATTTAAAATGATGAGTTCATAGCACAGAGGAGTCTTCCTTTTCCCTCAGCTATACTTGCTTGTTCTGTCCTATATTGTTGCAGACTGGTGAACTGTATACTAGTACTACCTTCATGAGAATTTCAGAGAGCTGGATTCTTCTAGGTTTCCTTTCACTGTCTCTGTGTAGTAGCAGATAACAGTATACAAGGGTGGTGCATCTGTTCTGTGGCACCCCAAAAAACAAGGTGAATTGGGGGGGATTCAGGTCATGATCTCACATTCCCAACTTGGACTTTGGTGCCAGCAAGATGTCTAGAGGTGGAACAAAGACCCCAAAGGTTATTCATCACCTTATGGCACTAGTCTTCTTCCCCACTCTCCTTTCCTTTTCCGAGTAATGAAACCAAGCTGACTGGGGATATGCCTAGAGGGAAGGAGATGTTGGCGGGACATTTCATTTTGACAGACACAGCTAGTTTTTCACAGTAAACTATTTTTCATAGCCACTCCAATCTTAGTAACTTGGAGGAGAGGTGTTGAAGGAGTAGACAGGGTTGTTTTTCATGTGGGTCCTTATTCTCCTTCCAGATTATAGCATAAGAAGCATAGCTAGACTACTAGGGTAGTTGACTTCTTTCTCAAGCATTCTTTACCTAACAAACAATTAAAACTAATAGTGCTCACTCTTTTTTGTTCACTGAGAAAGGGGGGCAAGGATCAGTGAGAAAAATGGACTTTGCCCATTTTTTTATAACAAAGGCAAAATCATGTATCATTATAGCCCCTGGACCTATTTGTCTTTGGCAGGTTTCTTATCCAGAGGCACCTGCTTCAGTTTTCAAATGAGTTGCAACAGAACCTGGAGGGATGTGTGATATCTATCCCTGCCCCATTCTGTTTTTTGTGTTTTTTAAGTAATAGATTCCCTGCATGAAAACCCATGAATGGATCTGCCTGGAATTTGGTGGGTTTTAATCTACTCCTCAGGCACTTGCTTGCCTGCAGATTTCATCCACTTATGTGGAGAGGGGGGGAGGAGGGGGAAAGAACCATTTTTGGCTTCTCAATTGGGGGTGAAGCAGCTTTCGAATTAACAGACCAGACTCAGACCTAAATAATGACTTGCTTCCAAATGGCTGACATCCATCTGTCTTGGGAGACAATGTGCGCCTTCTAGGGTGAAGTGCCTGCTGTGGTTGTGGAGACCAATATGAGCACTGATAAGTAAGAGGTGCTACTGCAGTTTGCAACAGTAGTAAGAAAACATTTAGATGTGTCTGCAAGAACAAAAGAAGAGCCTGCTGGATCAGGCCTGTGGTCCATCTATTCCTGCATCCAGTGCCCAACCAGATGCCTGTGGGAACCCAGCAAGCAGGATTTGACCACAACAGCACTCTCCCCTGCTTTCATTTCTAGCAAGTGCTATTTGCGTGTTCAGACCCAGAAACCTCCCACCAAAATAAATTCACACAAGACTCAAATTTTAGTTTTGGTTTTTGGCAGAATGGATCAGATAAATTTTAACAGAACAAAATATAAACAAAATTTATGTTTTTATTGCCTGGGAAATTTGCATTTCTTTTATAAACCAGGCCAAACCAGAAGGAATGGATAAAATTTAACAGAACAAAAATAATTAAATGAAATTTATATTTTTTGCAAGGAAAATTTGCATTTTGGTCTTCTCTGGCAATAGAGATGTCCTTTGTATTTGAAGAACATTGCCAGCTGTGCTGAACACACTTTCACATGGCACACTTGTTCCTGGGATAGCCAAAAACTTCTTTGCAAGCACCTTCAACATTGGGAAGGATGCCTCATGTGCCTTACACTACATTAGACAGCATTCGTCAATATCCACTCTTGGCATAGCCTTATAGGAGAAAATGGGGAGCATAAGGAGGTGGGGGGAGACACAGAAGAGGCTCAAACAGCAGAGCAGGGTGGTGTTTCTTTCTTTTACTCTGAAGCAACTTGCAAGCCAACAAGCATCTCAATCGTGTATTTCCCTCCTGCTTACAACAGGGGAGGGGAAAGCTGAAGACTGGCAGGGTTAACATGGGGCTGGCGGTGTAGGCTAGGTTAATAAAAAACCCGTGGGCTGCTTCTGCCCCAAAAGAAAGGCACACACAACAAACACTGGGGGTTTTGCCCCATTTTATTCTTGCATGCCACAATCTCTCTCTCTCTCTCTCTCTCACACACACACACACACAGAGAGAGAGAGAGAGAGAGAGAGAGAGAGCACGCAAAGCACTGCAGGTCAGACTGAGCTAAAGAAACGTGGGGATATAGAAATGCACCTCCAGGAAAGTTCCTTGCCATGGTTCCATGGCTCCAAACGAAGCACCATCTTGACACATGAACAGAGGGGGGAGGGAGTAGTCAGGGAGACACAATCACACCCCAGCAGTACAGTTTTAACAAATTGGGTCCTCCCTTAAAGAGGGCACATAGTGAGGTGAGACCTGGAAAACTGACACCCTGTGTTGTGGGTGGGTACTACTGGTCAGCCACAACACCCGATTGGTAGGTCCCTCGAAGCTGGGTGCAATCTGGCCAATGGGACGCAGTCCAAACGGTTCGAGGGACCTATTTATGCCCATGCACATGACCCAGAGCTTCCTCTTTCGGTGCCTGCATTTGGAACACCAGTCCACCTCTCCCTACTTTTAGGGCTTTGCGCTTGACCTTGCTATGCTGTTGTGTGTCGTCTGTCATTGGGACAGGGGCACGGCAGGAATTTTCCCCACTTGGCTGATTGGCTGTAGCCATTTGGGTTTCTCCTGCCACGTAGCAAATCGTCACAACTTGTAAGGTTGCAGATAGGCTCTGGTTCACGTGATAGGGATGGGAGAACGCTCTCGCCATCCCTATGTGAAGGGTATTCCGTTAAAGGAATCCAGGGACTCGATGGTTTGGTCAACCCCTGTGAGGGGGTTGTGCCCGTGCCTGAGTCCAGGGGGGCATTTGGGTGGCGGAGATAGCTTGTTCCCGGCTTTCTGCTTATCCAGGTGTTCACCCTTGGCTGACCTATGCTGGAACCCAGGGTCAGCGCTACCTGAATGGCAGGGAGCTAGTTGAACCAGAGCCTATGTAACCAGTCACTTTCTGTAATCAAGAAAGTTGTGGCCTAAATTCTGCCAAAAACCAAAACCAAAATTTGAGTCTTGTGTGAATTTATTTAGGGGGGAGGTCTCTGGGTCTGAACACGCAAGGGGCAGACTGCTGCTTACAGAAAACGAAGTGTGACGTGCTAGCTGGGTTAATGAAAACCGCAGTGCTTTTTGCTCCCTGGTGGCTGCTGTTTCATGAAAACGAACTCAGCAGACACGCCACCAATGGGAAGGGAGAGAGAGACACACATAGACACTCACACACTCACAAGCAGTACACACAGATGGGGGGGGGATGACAGAAGAGGGTCAAAGAAAGGTGTCTGTCTACTTCTTACTAATCCAAGTTTATGTTTTTATGGGGGGAAAGGACTCCAGAAGTTTGAACCTGCAGGTTTCCCCTAAGTCAACTACCAGCCTGGATCCTATAAGCAAGAGCCTTGAGAGAAGAAGTCCCTGCTTGCTGGCTGGGTGGCCGGGGAGACAGAGACTGTTCTCAAAGCTCTGTTTGGCGATATCTGCTGGGCGATATTTGAGTCAGCCTGCTGTAGTGATTTGTAGCTATTTCTTGTTGTTGCAGGAGGCAAGGAAGAGCTGACTTTTTAATACCACACACACGATATGCAATAAATTGTAAAGTCATTATCACAATTTGATTTAAACCCGATATCAGACAATACATTGATTTATAGCACAGCCTTAGTATGGCATTCTGGGTTGCAAAACAATTCTCCAGAGATTACTTTCCATGATGACCCAGACTTTCGTTATCGTATTCTTGCATTGTTTTCATTAGCGAGACCACCAATCACATTTTCTTTGACATGAAAAAGCACCGCAAGCTATCTGAAGGAAAGAAAGGGATGGAAATGGACCCTGCCAAATCACGTTGCTGTCCTGTCTGTTGGCTGAGATGGTGAGGGAATCTCACTGAGAATGTGACACATTCTTAAAGGCATCCCAGAACTTGGTTCCCTGCAATGACCCTTCCACAGACTGTGAAATGGAATGCCAAGTGGAATTCCTAGAGTAGGAGCAGCAATGCCAACAGACACAGCGTGTTAAACCTGTCATGCACATTTGCCAGCAATTTACTGCTTGCATTATGTATCAATTAGTATATCTGTTTGAAATTCTGTGGAGAAAATGCAGTTTCTCACTCCAGATCAGTGCGTAGGTTATCAAGCTGTGTTGGAACAGAAGAAGGATTGAGTTAGCATTCGTAGCAGGACTCAACATCTGCTGCGTGATCTTGAGTAAACATTTTTGAGGCTCAGTTCGTTGACTGCACAAAAACACTTCAGCAATCTCACACCTACTCTTAGACACGATATCTTATCAATCAGCACTGGTGACATTTCCTCCAGTGAAGTGTGGACATTGCTAGGCTCTTTGAGGCAGTAATCATTCGGTTTCGTACGTCCATTTCTGCACCTTTACTCTATTATCACTATTACTTCCAAACTTTTTGCAGTACTGTGCTGCCCTCACCTCAGTGATCTCATTACCTCAGCTCTGCCATTCTCAGGCTCTAGCTGTTTTCAGTCACAATGCACTCAGAATTTCAAAAGTGTCTTTTGCTATAAACACATCAATAAAAACACTATTCTGCATAGCAAAGCCCAGGGCTGACCCAGAATATTTTGCTACTGCAAAGAAAAGAACAAGATGGCGCCCCACCCATTCTATCTACAGAAGCTGACTGGACTAGCAGTTGAATCTTAATAGGATGATGATGATGATGATGATGATGATGATGATAATAATAATTTGTTGTTGTTGTTGTTGTTGTTGTTTATACCCCCGCCCATCTGGCTTGGTTTCCCCAGCCACTCTTTTCAGTAGAAAGCACCCTTTCAAGTAGTTTAACTAATATGGGGCAATGAAGCTACTTGCTCCGGGCACAAACTGGGGAATGATGCGTCATGGGCATCTTCTAATACTTTAAAGTTATTAAGGGAATTATGGTGTGATGTTTTCTGGAAAGTATGGGGGGAAGTGGGCAAGCTTTCAAGACAGTAAGTACAAAACTAGACTTAGGGGCTTAGTTGAAAGCTGCAGACCAAGCAGATTGGCACCAGTGAAGCTTATCATTGTTTTTCTGCCTGCAACCAAACATAGTAAAGCACACTCAGTCATTGATTACTGCTGGTGGGGGAGGAGAAGTCCAAGGCATGTAGCATTGAACAGCAGCAGCCCGAAGTCCCCCCCCCCCTTTGGAAAGTCACAGTTTGGAATCTCGAAAACAGCACTCTGAATGGTTTGCAACTATTTGTAGCTCATCTTATTGCCAGCTCTGATAAAGACTGTAGAACTGGGAAGTTGCAAGAGACAGAGGAAAGCCACCTTCAGCAATGACCTTTTGTCCCTAACATAATTTTTTAAAATTGCATTGTGGGCACAGCATTGCAGGTTTCATTTAGAAATGAAATTAATGGTATCCCGATATCAAAATGCCCACATGTGCTGGAAGAACATAGGCAACCACCTGCTATTACCATTCTAAGACACCTATATACCAGAAGGCGTTCTCTATATAGCCCACTTCAAGTGTGAAACCAGCATCTATTACTATGACTATTAAATAAGGGTGTGATACAGACCCTGCCCACAGCATAGGGCAAGCAGCTGCCCCTCCCCAACACTGTCCATCAATCGGTCTGCATTGAGAAGGTCTGTGTATGAGAAGCTGCTCATGTATAAGCACTATCAGTCAAGCAGTCCCTGCCAATGTGTGGACATCTGCATGGGGGCAGCAGTATCCCCTCCCCACTTCAAGTATTATGTAATCTGTGCATGAAAGGAGCTTATATTTTCAGAAAATCAGGTAAATAGTTGGAATATTTGGGCTGAATTAGAGATAGGCAAGTTCTTTGCTGAAAAGTGTAAATAAGACTGTGATCCTAAGTATGCTTAGTGGAGAAGAAGCCTAACTGAATAGAATTTCCTCTAAAGTCTAAACAATCAATACTTCCAGGAACGCATGTATTTTGTATTGCCTTTGTCATAAGAACTCTGTTATAAGCACTCTGTTATAAGAAACCGGCAATTCAATAAAGCTGCTAGTAAGTAATGCATTTTACAATTTTTACTTTGCCTGTGTTACAGTTTCTTTCCCCAAAGTATTTTGTAAATTGTAAATGCTGCCTTCTGTTTTCTTTGAGGTTGTGCCAATGTGCCAACAGAGAAGTTGATAAATGCCTTAAGGACCACCCTCCTATGCTGTGAGTAAAAGCATACCAGAGGCAGTGTGTATATTAATACTAATATTGGTCTTCTGTTTAGAAGACGTGGAGCTGGCTGAGCTGTTGCAAATGGTATGTTGCCAGAAATGAACATTTGAAAGAAGAAGGAATTCCATGTATGGGGGTGTGCTTTCAAAAATTAAAAAAGGGAGAAAAATACTGCCATTATATTACCTTTTCAAGTCCTGATAATGCAAATATAGCACTACACACTGTCCATGCCCCCAGCAGGGCTGCATTGCCAGCAACCAGACTGGCTAGTAGGTGGAGAAGAATCAAGAAAGGGCTGGTTTGAACAGGAGGGGACATGCAAGAAGCAATGCAAACAACTTGCTGTGCAGACCATGTGCCAAATGCTCAACATCATCAGAGGAAGGTCAGCTAATGCCTCATATGTTTTTGGCCAATAAACAGTTTCCCCAGGCCACCACCTTGTGATAACTTACTTATTGCTCCCTCTTCCTCTCTACCTGACTTTAAAAAGCACAACATCTATGTTTTTCATAATCTCCCCTGTGTGTTGGCATGTGTAGCTCATGCCAACACACAGGGCAGAAATCTCAGCCTACTGAGTGCTAAAGAAACACTAATGCCTTCTTGCCCTTTGTATGACTGTCATATGGTATCTAAACATCCTTTAGGGTCTGGCGGGTCTTAAGCCTCACTTTTCCATTGGCTGAAGTCCCAACATAAATCACCTACCTCTGAGCAGTCTTCAATCCCACATAGTCTCTCCCACCCCCACCCCATGTCTTGGTTACAGCTCATGGTGTCACCTTGAGAGAGGAAAGTTAGGATATAAAAGTAATACTAAATAAGGAAATGACACTGAATACAAATGGCACATGCCAAGGAACAATTGGGGGTGCGCTCTGACTCCCCAATTATTCCTCTGCAGCTG